CAAAAACTGCAAGTTCATAACAGTAGCCAACAATTATTGCACTCCAAACAGTCCTTTGCAACTTGTGTATACTTTTGTCGTCTTGCACAAAACTACACTGACGGTTAATCAAGTAAAAAAAGACAAGTTTTAATTAAATTCCAATGAGAAAACAAAACCAGTATAAAACTCTCTAGATTAATAACAGTAAGTGTGAAACCTTAGAAGAAATAACTTTAGTAGTGTAATCTAACCATCGACTCAAGAATCAAATGATCTTCTCTTCCACGCAAGTCTTTCAGAACACCATATCAGCCGTTTGTCACATGAGACGCTGCCTTCTCGTCAAAACGTTGGCGGCCCTTCTAACATTACTGTTCTCTCATCAGATCATGTCACAAAGCTAGTAAATACGGTGCATCCTGTTGAAACAACAGTGGAATGGAACAGCTGCATGTGCTGATACGCAGCAAGAGGACAAGCTCAACTTTAGGCGCCGTTTGTTGGAGTTGTCCATTAAAGATTTCTTTTGCTAATTGAGCCGAAGTATCAGCCACACCTCAGGTGGGAAAATCTGAACAGTTTAAGGCCTACACTTACTTTTGGTCTCTCAACATGATTGATCCGAAGAGAAATCGCACCAACTTGGATCTGTGTAATTTTTCTTTTTTAAGAGAAACCCCCAGCAGTTCCTACTGTTGACGTGCTAAAATGGAAACATTCACGTCTGTAAGCATGACTTAATAAAGAGAGAGGAGCTCTCTGAACTTGGTTTCTGAGGAAACCATCATTACCGAGCCTTGTGCTTCCTTGGCCAATCGCATTCATACCGGCATCATTTTCTGTTGAATAATTCAACGTACTATAAATGCACAAAGTATAAGGTAAAGAAAATAAAAATAAAAATCATAGATCTAATGCAAAAATCCCATCCACGCTTTCTGTCTCTAGCTGGATTTAGTTTGTTGCAGGAATCATTTCCATCCAGTTGAAAACTAACATGGCCACCTTCAATACCCCTGAGATGACGAGTCATTGGCTGTGTGAGCTCATTGTTAGTCATCAACACTTTGCGCACCAACACTGGCGTTGCATGTGCCGGATGAGGAGAGTGCGGCCAGCACGGTTAACAAAAAAAGACATCAAGGCCTAAGAAGCCATCTTTTGTCCACTGCTCTTTGAAAAGGGAAGCCGCTGCCTTCCCAAGACGGGCCCTATTGTCCTGCAAAGTTACGGTTGTCTCTTTGAGGACCAGGCTTTGTCGGGACGCTAGGTTGAAATTATCTCTGAAAGTTTGTGATTTTTGTTGTTAGTCTTTTTTTTTAAAAAGGTTAAAAAGTGACAATTTTTTGGGCTGGATAGGAAAAAGAAATTCACATAAGATTTCATAAATGCACATCGGATGTTTCCTGTATTTTGCAGTAAAATGCATTTAAATTAGAGGTTGAATAAATAATGTCCAGCACTAGGAGATCGCTCTTCGTTATTTTGTTTGATCAGCTGTCATAATCAATGATGATATCAGCTGGCCCAAGCAGGGATCAGGAGACCGGGTGAAATACAAATACTCCTGAAAACAATATACAATGATTGAAGATGCATGAGATTTGAGCCTTCTATTGATTATTTATCCCCACAATTGCTGAAAATACTGCAAAAAAAAAAAACAATAGCTTAAATGCATTGGTAGAAAAATTGAAGAAGGAGGATGTGAAATGTCAAAGTGCAAGTAAAAAACGGTTTATTTTTGGCCTAAACTGAAATCCATTTAAATACTTCAGCCCCTATAGTTATTTCAATATTTCTTATACAGACCAAAAGCGCCGTTAAGTGACGCACGCACCAATCAGATTTTACTTGGCTGATGCTAATTGCTCCTTTCCTCTTTTTTTTTTTAAAAGGACTAGAACGCAGGAAAAAAAAGAGAAAATACTCATCCAGCTCCTTGATAGAGGCAATAGCTGTGTATTCTTAACCTCTGACATTTTATAAGTTATTTTAGAAAAACTGAGCCAGAGTTCATGTTGTTGGTTGATGTGTTTATAGACCAAAAACAGAGGGTATTTTTAGTTTTAAAATAGAAGAATTTTTCAGTATTTGACTTGTCTGACTGATGAGACTCGAAGTGAAAACTGTGTAGAGACTGGCGCATCTCTACTACTGTCTAAAATAAATAATTAACAGCCTTACATAAAATAGTTTGGTCTTTTCTCGTTAATTACATTTAACTTGCAGACATGCAGCGCAACAGCATGTGGGCCAAATCCCACAAGCTGAAAGGGATACAGAGGAGGAAACTTGTAGCAAAGCTGCTGTAGCTACTCGGAGACAGGAGATGTGAATCCAGGCTCCTTGGACCCGTGTACCAGGCTGGCAGCATCGAGACATGCACCGAATTAAGCAATATGTGGCCAGAGAAGTGTTAATTTTCAACCTGGCCTTGCTCAATTTCACACCGTTCGCTGCGTGTGCCCGAGCCGAGCGCAGAGTCCCCACAGCCCCGTTTTAACAAGACAACCGTTGGCCATCGAATGGAAACGGGCCCTAAACATTTAAGTTATCGTTTTCACTTCCACGCTCCCTTCTCTTCATTTACAATCAGCTGGAAACAGAACTGTACAATCAGTACCGTTTTATCCGTCGGGCACGGTGACGGATAAAACAATAAAAATAAGAACGAATAAAGAACCTACTGTGCTCACAGACCAGCCCAGCAGCACGTCTTCCTGTAATGACGCTGGTCGAGAGTTAGCTTTAAAGCTAACATCCCTGTTGGCTTTAATAACTTCAAAGCTAATTAGTAAAAGTCAATCAGCCTCACTTGAGTAGTTCCTCATCTATAAATGAATTCCCTTTTGTCAGTTTTCCTAACTATGCAACTGGTTATAAATGACTTAGTCAAGATAAAGTTAATCCTTTCAAAAACAAGCTTGTGCCTCTGGTGACGTCACATAAGGCACAAGAACCCGATCAGACCTCTAAAGGGCACCCATTTGTATGCTTTTCCTCTTTTTTGCAGTTCACCTAATCAGACTTCTCATTTAAGAGTTGGTCGCTTCTGTTATGAGCGACTGCAACAAAAAGTTTGAGTTTGTATCTCCAAACACAACATGGGTTTCTGGAAACTATGCCAACAACAAACAAGGTTTCTGCTACTTTTTTCTGCAGTTCTGGTCATTCTTTTATAAGAACATCACTTTCTCAGCATGAATTACAAGAAAATAACTTTGTTTTATGACTACCATGAATAATAAGCAAGTGAGAGAAAAATTAAATAGGTGTTTTCATTTATCTTAAACATTTAAATACGTCTAACTTGAAGACCGTCTAACAGTAAATGGAGAAAGCATTAAAACAGTTACTAAGAAACCATACGAGTCCCTGTTTTTCCAAATCCTGCTACTTAGACACAATCCAATGAGCCTAAGATGAAATATAACAGTTTCGGACGTGTAAGTGAGCTTATTAAAAGAAAAAAGAGAGAAAGAAAATGAACATAAACGTAAGGCCAAGTATGAATAATTTTAATGTTTAAAAAAAAAATCATCCAAGGATTTAAAAAAATGCTGATTGCAGCTGGTTTATCAAGATGATCAGGTCAGACAGGAATGGATTTTTTCCCCCCCACATTTCTCCAAACATCTTCAGTTCCTATGATGTTTTCTCCAGCGATGCAGTCACCCCTTTATTCCCACCAAATATATTTACCAGACAGGGGCTGAAAACGAGCAAGTGTGCCAGCTGGCCAAAACACGCATCCACCTGCAGTACAGACCACACCGTCATCACCACGATTCAAGTCGATGCCAGAGGTGAACGCATTCAAAAACTAATAGAAAATTTTAACCACAAACTTAACAGATTTGAACAAAATAAAAGTTCAGAACGCAGTAAATGTCACAGTCATCATTTCACCGCCTTGTCCGTCATGAACTGATGATCCTCAGTCAAATCCGGACTCGCGTGTACAGTCAAAGCCCTTGCAGTCACATTTCAGAATCTATGAGAATCTGTCAAAAGTTGCCTTTCCTCCGTAGTGTTGATTAACCTCTGCCTCTCCTGATGTAATCAACCCAAAAACACACAAGTTTTTGTGTGAAACATTAGAAACATTTGTTTTTTCTGAAATCTCACTGAAAATCCATACTTCCTTACCCAGTACATTCGTTGGCAAGGGGGAAAAGTACACCAATGGAGAGTACTCTGTGATCGTTTTTCTTTGTTTTAAACCTAACAAATCTAAAAAAAACAACAACAACAAAAAAAAAAAAACACTGTTCTAATTAAACGGTGGAACAGCAGCCAGAACTTCCTTTTGGAGTATTTTTACTGAGCACCATCAGGATGTAGCAGAAAGTGAGTGGGAGGGGGAATCAGGAATCTTAATTAGGTATTAGAAGCAATTGCCTGTATAAAAAAAAAAGACGGAGAGGTCACCCCAGTTGTACATATGCAAAGGATCCAGAAGGATGCTAGAAGATTTCCACCCCCCTCATTTCCATCTGTTAAAACTAAGTGTACCTTTCAACTTTTTTGTGTCCCTGTTGCCTTCACTTGCCTGAACTCCTGGATGCTTTGTCAGTTAAAAGCGGTCCCTGGAGGTCAGTGAAGTGCTCATAATGCTAGTTATAGGAGCGAGGACATGAAATAGTTGAACAAAGGCAAAAACTTTTGGGATTTCTCAGACAAAAGCAACACTGACGATACTTTGGGTGCATCATTACATTCAAGTTGTCCGTGTTTATGCCGAGTTTCATTAAAGGAAGAGAAAATAAAACAAAGGAAGTGTGGACATTTTGAAGCAATTTTTAGTCCTCATCACCATCCCTTCTCTTCACAGACTCACCATCATCTCTCAGTGAGCTATATAGCTTTAGGGAAATAAAAAAAAATAAAAAAAAAAACGAAGGGAAGCAACGACGGACCACGCTCTGAATAATACACAAAACCGAGTCTGCGTTAATCATGGCGAGAGCGACTTTAAGCGATTACCGCTCTAAAATGTAATCCACCAGCCTTACCTCCAACCCGGTACATATTCGCTGCCATGACTGCCCCTGGTCCCTGGCTTCCTCTCCAGGTAGAGGGGTGGCTCTCTGCTCTCTCCCGCTGCCGCCGCTGTGTGTTGGAAAATGGAGGATTGATCAATACGAAACAGACTGGCAGTGAGCTCTTAAAGAGACAGTACACCTCTACGTAACTCAGACTCTGGCAGGGGGAGGAATGTAACAAAAGGCGCGTTTTTGACTGCAGGAACCTTTTGCAGGAACCAGGGTAGTTTTCTGGGGTCTTTGTTCATACCCACCCCGTCCCCAATTTCCACTGCTTCTTCTAGGCTAAACACAGATTACCAGGTTGACATTTACCTCTTTAAAATGCACTGCAGGGGATCAGGGGCGGGGAGTAGCTGATGTACTACTCAGAACTACTGAGTGGAGTTTTGTGGAGGGAGTGATAAGACTGAATTTTCTCAGCACTGTGTTTCTGTCATCTCAATTAAAACCAGTATATATATATATATATATATATATATATATATATATATATATATATATATATGTCTCTTTTATCCTACATACTTTCAAAAAAAAGGTCTGCTTAGCTGTGCTTCTCTCAAAAATGAACACTGTGAAGGAGCTACTACTGACATTAACTTTTTACGTTTCTTGAAGTTAGTGAAGTCTGCTGGAAATCGATTCCTGTTTAAAGATGGATTTTGATATGGGTTTGTGTTTGTTTTATTATTATTTCATTTTTTGTGTGTACTTTATTTTTCAAGAAACTTCTGTTATACCCCCGGGCATTTAGTGTACCTCTCAGTTTACAGGGATTTTAATACTGTTTTTTAGTGTTTCCACTGTGTTACGACCCAGGTTGTACTCCTGACAGTATCGCTCCCTTTTCTCACTTAAAAGCCGAAAGAACATCTATTGCCTTTTTTTGTTTTTTAAAGTTTGTTACACATTTTTGTGAATGTTAAAGTGAATTGCCATGAGTTATAACTTGTGAAAGGTGTTACAGAATCATTAGTTATAGTTTAATTACTTAAAATCTTAACTTTTTTTATTTTGGTAGTTAGAACCTCTTTACACTCTCTGTCCCACAACGGACGATAATTGTGATTGATTTAAAATCTGTTCTAGATACACATTAACACGAGTTTTGGAGTAACTTTATATGGTTTTAAATGAAGACTGTTATTGAACTACCCTTAAATTAAGCTGTATTAGTGTGAATTTAATGTTTTTAATTGCTTTCTGGTCTCAGCAGTTGCACTAGCAGATGGTCCATATGTGTAGATCCCTAAATTTGCATGAATGTTCAAAATTGAAACCTCTATTTGTGATCAATAACAAGTGTTCCTTTGAACCAATGGAGTTTAACAGATAACAGGCTCTTTTTTATTTCGCCCCTGAGTTTTATTACGCTTCCAGTAGCTATGCCAACGCAGCTTACATGAACAGTGTGATTTTTTGTCACACCATGGAATGGCAACATACAACAGCATTGTGTAAAAAAAAAAAAAAAAAGTCCCTATAATCCAGATGAATGTACAGGATTGACACAAATATATCCATCTTTTAGGATTTAAAATTCAGGTTTATTTGTTACATTCTCATTTGTTGCAGAGCTACATGGACAAGTGAAATAACATAAGCACAGGACTGAAAAATACTATTCCTAAATGGAAGTAGAACTCTAAACACCAATGAAAAATAGTAATAATGATGAATAAATAAACAATGAGAATGAAAAACAACATGACATTGTTAGAAATGGCAGGTGAAGTCCATATGGATGACCAGTGCAGTCAAGACAATCAGCTGCATCTGTACATCAAAAGTAAAAACTGGAATGTGCAACACAATGCGCTTCATGGTAGTGGTGAACCGTTTCAGATAGTACGGCACGGCCTCGTTGAGGAGCCTCAAGCTATGAGAATATCAGGCCCTTCTGAGTCTCTGGGTGTTCGCTGTCTGAGTTCTACTACCTAAACAGACAGATACTAGGTTGAAAGGTATCTGTGATCATTTTGATGGCTGTACTTGGCAGCTCCTGTTGTTGATATCCTGCAGTGAAGGGAGATTTGATCTAATGTAGTGCTCGCCTGCTTTGATCACGCTCCACAGGTCTTAACAGTCCTCTGCAGCACTGTAACCTTCCCAGTGATGGACAAAGTATTGCGAGCATCAGCCCCTGTAGAAGGTTTTGAGGACCTTAAGACACCCTCTGCAGCCGCCCCGGGGTGGGAAAGGTACAGTCCTCCTGCCTTTCTGGCCTGAGCATGTATTTGGGTGGATCAAGTGAGATCATCTCTAAGCTAAACCTCAAGGAACTTGGTGTTTCTCAGTGTTTCCACCAGATGCGTCTCTGATAGAGAGAGGAAGAAGAAGAAGAAGAAGAAGAAGAAGAAGAAGAAGAAGACCATTTCCTGCCATAGTCCATGATCGTCTCCTTGGTGTTGTCGACGTTCAGCCGCAGGTTGTTACCCTGGCGCCATCTTGTCAGGACTTTTATCTCTTCTCTTCACTGTTGAAGCCAGTTGTGGGTAATCTTACTTTATGGACTCTGAATTTTCCAAATCTGCTGATTTGCTGATTTATATTGTCTTCTATCCAATCACAGTGTCACTCTGTCCTTTCCTTTGTTCATATCGATCATAAGAGAGTTTATATTTTCAAGACCGTAGATGATGATGATGTCATCATGGCCACATCGACAAACCAAAACATGCATAGAACTGGAAATACAAATACATTCTGTATAGAATAGAATAGAATAGAATAGAATAGAATAGAATAGAATAGAATAGAATAGAATTATTCTTTATTTTGGCTCAGTGGGAAAATGGAGGTGTGACCGCAGCAAGTTAAACTTAAATGGAAACATCCATATTCAAACTATGGAAAGAAAAATATAAAAAAATAACTATGAAAGTGTACAGTAAGAACAACATAAGAAAAATAATACTGGATAGCTATTTACAATAGCAAACAGGAAGACTATTTACCAAAAAAGATGTAATAACATCCCACTGATGCGCAAATGACACCTCATGAGTTTGATTTTGTTAGGAGCAGCGGCAGCTATGAAGTCTAACAGCTGCTGGGAGGAAGAATCTACAATAATGTTCCTTTGTGCACTTAGGATGCAGCAGTCTGTCACTGAAGGAAGCTCTCCAGTTCGTGAACGCGGTGGGAGACAGTGTCTATCGGTGATGTTATTATTTTAGCTGGAGTTCCTCCGTCTCCCGCCACCTGCAGTGGGTTGAGGGGGCATCCTAGGACAGAGCTGGCCTTCCTGATGAGCTTATTTAACTGCTTCCTCTCAGTCGTTGATAAGCTGCTGCTCCAACATACTGCACCACAGAAGATTGCTGGTGCCACCACGCAGACTCACAAAAAAGAGAGAGAGAGATTTGAATCTTTTAAGACTATAGTCAGGAAGTTTTGCAACAAGACAAGCTTTGCTCCTTTCTGCTTGCATGACGCAGTATCGCCGTATGTTTGCGATTTTATTATTTACCATAAGTTAGCAGACTTGCAACCGCATAAACTGTCAGTGAGAGGTGTTTAGCATATTTGCCAGTACACGATGAGAGAATGTCATTTAGTAATCCCCCACACAGTTGTATTAGCTCAGTTTTCTTTGTGGGTACGAGCACGGAGCCTCTGTGCTGCAGGAATGCTGTGGTTAAAAGCTCCATCTGATCTATACCATATGGAAGCTTCAATTACTGTGGCCTAACACAGGGGACTACAGCCTGCAGTCACATGACCGCTGCAGGCCAATCGTGTGCACTTGTGCCGCACGCACTCCTGCTGCCGTGCAGCCTCAGCGTTGGAAGTGTGCTGCGAGGGAACGCCATCTATCCTGTGCTGTGTTCCTTCAGCTCTTTCATGGCAGAGGACGAGGGAAGTCAGGCAGTGTGTTTTTCATACGTGACTGTGTGAACGTGTTGGACAAACAACGAGTTCAAATGCTTGTCAGAGTCAGATCCAGCTGCACAGTTGCTGAGGAGGATCAGAAGAGGCGCTCACGTTACTCCGCTTTTACAGTTTCCACACTGGCTGCTTGTGCATTGTGCACTGGTGTTTCAGCTGCTTAAAGACGTTCAAACTGAGATCTTAGTCTCACATATTTATGGGATGAGTTATTCATCTAACCACACCTCTGCGGTCTTCTTTTGGTAATATTCAATATCTAAGCACAACCTCACACTATCTTTATTACGGAGCCGGGAATCAAACCATAGAGACAGTGGAGTCTCTATGTGTTGAACTTGCTCTATGCTGAACTGATCCAATGATGTGTTGAAAAGCAAACTTAAAAACGTTACTTTTCTCTGTGTTTTTCCTTTAATGACCTTTAGGAATTGTATCCTTAATTCTACTCAATGCACATTAAGACAATCATCTGACTTTATTTTGATTTTAAATCACTTCTCAGCTGATTTAGCTTATTGGTGGTGATCAATGAACTATAACAACGTGCTTAAAGTCCTGTTGTGTGAATTAAATAGATTTCAGTTTATTTTTCTTTACATTTTTATTTGCTATTATAAATTATTTTATTTTTATATTCCCCTTTTTTAAATCTTAGACTTAGCACTTCTATTTTGTCTTTTAATTTTATCATGGCTTATTCATTTACCTATTTATTTATTATTTTAAGTACTTCATCAATACTCCTCCTATTATTTAGTTTAAATCTTAATCATTATTTATCTTTTTACTTATTTATTTTCTTTTTATCAATATTTTTGTGTCTATTTATATGCTATTTTAACTTAATTCGTAATATCTATTCCTCCTTTTAGTTTTAACACGAGATTTCAGACCTTCAGAAATGTCATGTCTTCTTCTTCACTTCTGGTAGCTGCACATTTCTTAACATTTAAGTTTAGTCTTGGTTAGCTCTTCATTTATGTTTTCCTGTTTGTGTCTTATTTTTTTTTATTTTTTTTTTATTATCTCCCACTTTGATCTAATGTGAAGTTTTTGTTGGCTCACCATCACTGTGAGCCAACAAAAAGCAGCACCTTTGGAGAACGCTCCCTCATTCTGTGTAGCACTGAGAAATCTTATGCCTTTGCACCGTCCGTCCTCTAATTAGATAGAAAACAACTGCCAATCCGTAAA